GAGCAGAATCAGCAGTAGCAGCGTGGGCTTTGTTGTGGACTACTGGGAGAAAAGACAGGAGAGAAAGGGAGGGAAAAAGCAGCTGACAGAAAAACAAAATAGACAACGAAGTTCAGATGAGGAGAGCGTTTAGAGAAAGTAAGGAAGAGAAAATATTTAGAGAAGGAAACAGATCAACAAGAGACAACAAGAGAAAGGGTGGTTTCAAAGAGAGAACCAGGAAGAAACTGTACTGAGTGACTATTGTTACAGACATTGCTATCACTACCACTGCTTCCACTACTACTGTGAAAACCACATTGGTAGTGAGGTTCAGTTGCTTTGGTGGCGATTTCCTGGTAAGTTTGACGTTTACTGATTTGTTCTGTTGCAAAAATGAAAGAAAAAACTTCTTGGAAGCTCAGTTTGTATCACCTTTATGTTCTTTTTACCTGTATTGTATTTCAAAAGATGTTTTATGATTAGTTCTAAAAGATGCAGTATATTGAAAAGAAGTGAAAGCACATTTATGTAGCAATAATATGTTTCATGAGACTTTTTTGTTTGTGGAAGCATCTGTTCCTTTTTTAAAGTATGCGAGATTTATATCCACTGAAACTTCCCTAAAATGAAACGACCAACATCAGTGAATACTGCACATGTTCAGTTGAAGTTAGTCAATGATTTGTTCAATTCAGGAAGCAGTAGTTGCGCCTTAAAGGTATTGTTTGGTTGATAATTGTTTCTGAAAATGTATGATTATTTCCTGTTTTCTTGTTTAAACATAAAAATAATCTGCTGTTCAGATGATAGTGATGTAAAGGACTGAAGCGGCTGTTTCACACCTTTGTTTAGGATGTCTGCATTCATTCAAATTCACTGTAAGAGGCTAGTCTGCTTGCTAGTGAGAACTGTTCTGATGATTTAATGGTATTTCTGGCTGTAAATACGTTTGGGGTGCCATGTGTTTATGATATACAACAGGCTCAGGAAGTGATTAGAAGGTATCAGATATTTTCATTTTTGTTCATTTTAGTTTCATCAGTTCAAAGGTGAACATCTACAGGTAACGTAACTGTGATTTTTGTTTTGATTTCTTTTTGGTGCATGTGTTTTAACGCTGAAGAATTTGTACAAGAAAACATTGTTCTGTAAATACTATGTAGCAACTTTGTTACTTCCCCTCCCTGCTGTCTTCACATAGTCGCACACATGGTTCTTGTGAACTTCATACTGCTGCAAATTCACTCAAAAGAACAGCTTGTGTATGTGTGTGTGTGGCTCAGTGGACTGTTTGAGGTGAGTGTGCTCGGTGTGTAGGTGTGTGTGTGTGTGTGTGTGTGTGTGTGTGTGTAATTAGATGAGAGGCAACTCTGTGGGGCCCCTCCCCCTCCCCCTAGACAACAGACACACTTACTAGAGACCCGGTTTTGGTGCATGTACGCACACACGCTCACATACATGCACATTTCCTCTGGCTGTGGCTTACACAGGTCAGTGGGTCGAGCTGGAATGATAGTCATGATCAGTACCATATGTATCTGTTTTGTTGCACCGTGGGCACGCTAGAGACTTTTTGACTTTTTTTTTTTTGCACTAATATTTTTGCTTACTTTAGTTAGTTTAACACAAATATCATTTTACATCACATCTAACAATTGTGTAAACCTAATCCTGTATTTTTGAAATTTAGGTGTATCTTTTCAAGGTTCTAGGCAGCCATTGGTTACCATCACTATTACAGAATACTAGATTACATAGATTAATGCATGGCTGCCAAGACCAGAAACAAAGTTTGATCCTTTTACCAATCAGACTCCTGCTCAGTTGTTAAGCCTGTACAGCTAAACATTGTTCACATGAAGAAAGTTTTCATAGACACCAAATATGTCCAGCTGTGTGGTGAAAATGATGCAAAAGACACTTTGGATGTTCACATTTGATGATGTGCAACAGTCATAAAAACACAGAATTTGGAGTTTGAATATTTCCCTCAACATTATATCACTTCAGTGAAGAACTTGAACAAGCTGACAGATTGTCAGTGTGGAATGAACTTACTTTATAAGCTGCTTTTCTTTGAAATTAAAAAGCAGAGGTGCCTGCATTGATGATAAACTAACATATGATAGAAAATGACAATAAAATGGTACATATTACTTTGCTGGCTGTACGTGGATCAGATTTTCTTTTTGCAACAGGAAAAGATCAGAGCAGCCCCTACACTCCCACCCTCCACCCAGCTGCCCCGACTCAGATTTCCTATGATGAATGAAAGCCTGCTGATACTGTGATACTGATTGGATCCCTGCAAACACATTTTGATCCGTCTTTGTAGGGCTTACAGGTTCTGGCTGAGCATGAATGAGTGTGCCACTGTGCATGTGGGTTGGTATCGCTGTTGCTCTGTGAGCACACTTTATGTGACTGCTCTTGATGAGCGACTGAGCCCTTGCCCTCTGAAATAAAATACTGCTCTCTTCTACACCCACTTTCACTCATTGGCCAATTAAACAGCTTTCAGGGTGCCCCAACTGGCCCCTCAGAGAATACTGTAAACCTTCCATAGTCGCTCCATATCGCCTCAGTCAAGAAGGCTCTAATGAAAGCCTTGGCCCCTTGAGAGCTTCCACATGCTCTCACCAGGCCCCTGCTTTCACCAAGCAATATGTTTGTATTGAAATAAGAGATGGTTATCTTTCTCTAGTCATCAATTACTTTCTCTCTCAAATTTGCTCTGTTTTTTTTTTCACACATCCTCTATGATAATTATATGATCATATCACAGTCATGCTGAGGCTAATGAAGACAGAAGGGGGTGGTGGCGCCACTGCTCTGTTTTTTTTTATAACAATGGCTGTTGATTTTTTTTTCTCACTCTACTGTCACTTTCTTTATATATTAGCACTTATACTGATTGGCAATTTACAGTGTTTTTATTTACAATTATCTTCAAATAGGTTACTAGATTTTTTTTTTTATTGTTGGGGGGGCTGTATAATTTGGATACTGGACAGGAAAACAAAATGAGGGGAGCAAGAGAAGGGATGGCATGCATCAAAGGTCCCTGACTACACCTGAACCTGGGACAATTCCATGATAAATATCCTGAATAGGCCACCAGGATACCCCAGGCTGTTCGATATTAACACTGCTGTACTTCTACTGTTGGTCATTTTACAATTTGACAATTTTCATTCAAAAACATTCTGCCATTAATCAACAGCATGAAGACTTTAATGGATCTCCACAGTAAAACTAATATTTTCTCATACTGTATATTACTGTTTCCCGATTTGTTTTAGAGATTTAAAGAGTTTAAATCCTCTCACCATAATCACTGTTTTTGTTGTGTTGCTGGAAGCAGAGGGTTTGATGAATTGTCTATCACGCAGGTCACTGGGGGCTCATGACTTCTGACTCACTTTCAGCATAGGGAGGGGCTCAATACAAAGGACCTGCCAAGAAGAGTTTCAGAAGATTTTTATTTATCCCCCCCCCCCCCTTCACATGTCTGTCAATCGTTTTTGGAAAAACCGCCACACTTACTATCCTTGTGGTGTTTTTGAATGCGACGTTTGCAATAATACAAACCATGTCTACTGATTCTCTGCACCTCTGTTGGAAGCCTCTGTGTACAAATGGAGGGCACATGTAGAATGTTTTGTGTCTATGCTTGCTTACAGGATGGCATTTTGTGCTGCAGATTTAGAATTTACACTGAAGTATGTATCACACATTTAGATTTCTAAATGAGTCATATTGTCATCTTTTAAAATCACCCATGCATTTAACTTGTGGGTTACTCTTTCTTTCTCCCTACATATCCCATTTTTCCAGTTACCCTTCCCGGTGCACTCCTCGCTCCTGTTTCTTCCACCTCAGCCTCCCTTACTACACGTCGCTCTTCTTCCAATTCCTCCTCCTTCATGCAGACCTCATACCGGCTGCCCAACCCCTTGCCACCCCTCCCTGTTCGCAAGGGTGTCCGAGGTCGTCGTCCCAAATCCCAGACTATTGCTTTGTTAAAGGCAGCGGCGGAGGCTGCGGCGGCGGCAGCAGTAAATGGAGCATCACAAAGCCCTGCCAGAACTAGCTCTGAGGCTGAACTGGCACCCAGGCCACACAAGAAGAGAGGACCCAAGCCTAAGAGCAAGGTGAGCTATAGAGAGTTGTACTGTGTAATGTTGTGTACCTTTTATGTATTACTGTAGAAAAGAAAGAGGAGACAAGGCCAGAGGTGGGCTCTGTGGAAAGGAGGAGTTTTATGGATCTTTGTGGATGTTTATGCATGTAAAAAACGTACTGAGGAGAACAACTTTGCTTTACAACTGACTGTAGTTCATGTGTAGGTGTGGGTTGAAACACATTTAATAATTAACTAATAGCTTTGTATGCTACAGAGTCAAAGACATATGGGTTTGTTTTTTGTGTCCGAAGAAGCCTCGGATGGTTCAGGCTCTGGGGCCTTCATCAGTTACAGCTCCGCCTTCGGAGACCAGACTGAGCTCCAGCCATGTCTCAGTGGACAGCAGCAACAGCAACAGCTCAAATGTAGTTTGCACAGGTAAACTGGATGCCTGAATGTATATTTCTGTTTATACGGTGGGTTTTAGCAACTGTTAGCAGTATTCCACAAGCTGTAACCTGGAACTTCCCATCCCCTGTATTCAATAGAATTTAAAGGCCTGGTTCATTCTGCTTTGTTTTCCACTGTATTTTTCCCACTGTCAATCAGTGATTTAGGGCTGGACCCAAATATTCAGCCTTTTGGATATTTCTTTGGCTTTGTCCACTAGCTGGCATTTAATAGGAATGACAAGCAATTACGACATTATGACGCGGAGCCGGCATCATGGGTGATAATCATGAGCATGATTTTAAACTCCCCCAGGGACCGTCAATGTTTTTTCTTAAAATGACATCCAGGATGGTCATACCAGCTGTTGCTAACTAATGTTAACTCTGAGACTTAGTTATGATGAGACAAAATGAAACTCACCATTGTTGGGTTTATGACCTCACTGCAGCCGGTGGAGAAAGATAACACCTCTGTCTGCTGTTAGCTGAGGATTGTGTACAAGGTAAAAAAGACCACACACTGCAGAGCAGAGAGCAACAAGTTAGTGATCATGGCTGGATTAAAAAGGCTGGGCTAGCAACAGCTGCCATTCTCTATGAATGAGACCTGGGGTGTGTCTTTAAATTTAGCCCCATGAACTCGTCTTCAAAGTGGGCGGAGAACAGTGAAAAAAGCAGAAGGGCTACCAGTTCTGTTAGGGGTCGGTAGGTTTCTACGGTGGTAAAGACCTATGTTTGCTGGTGAATTCTAGTTTGACTCAACATTTTATTTCATTGTTTTGAAAAGAATTATATAGTATAGTTTTCTTTGTCCTTTCCTGATCCTGTTTGTGTCATTCCAGTGTGTGTCTATGTGAACAAGCACGGTGACTATGGCCCCCATATTGACAGAAAACTGGTGCAGCAGCTCCCAGATCACTTTGGTCCAGCTCCAGTCAATGCAGTGCTTCAGCAGGCTGTTCAGGCCTGTGTGGATTGTACGTACCAGCCCTCTGTACTGCTGTCGTTCCTACAGAGTCAGTCTCACACAGGAGGAGAGGTCATCAGAGGTAAGTGGAGTGAACAATACAGGCTGTTCTCTCTGAAAGAAACTGATTGCATCTTCAAATTGAATAGCAGATGTCAAGGTATAACCAGACTGGAAACAGGGAAGCAGCTAGCCTCACTCTGTCCAAAGGTAACTACGTGCCAGCACCTCTAACGTTCACTTTTTAGCATATCCAATTTCTTTAATCCTTATAAAAATCTAAGTTGTAAAATGACAGTCCTCCGTATTACAGTCAGTTATATGCAGAACTATTTCTCGGGATATAGCAGTGGCTTCATGGCGTCTCCACTGGTTGCCTGGTGACTGGTCCCAGCGAATGAAAGTCTAAATAGTCAATTATCTTTCAGTTTTTGTACAGATGAAACAAAATAGGTATTATGTGTTTGTGTTAATTAGTGAGCTTCATGTGTTGTTGTCAAATTACATTTTCCTTGGACAGAGCCAGGGCAGCTGTTTCCTGTTTCAAGTCTTTATTTTAAACTAAGATAACCTACTGCTGGTTGTAGCTTCATATTTCCCTAACAGACATGAGAGTCAACCTTCTCATCAAACTCTTGGAAAGCAAGCAAATAAGTGTTTCCTAAAAATGTTGAACTGTTCCTTTAAAAGTTGCTTTCTGAAAAGCAGTGCCAGATTTATTCTAATGTATTCCTAATGCCAAATAGCCTGGATAGGCTATCAGCCACATGAAATTGGTTTAAGCACACACTCATGGATTGTGTATGTGTGTGTGTGTGTCATGAGAAAGCCAAGAGGAATAAAAGACAGTGCCTATGGCAGCTCTTGAGCACTGTTTCTGTAATCAGAAGTGACATGTGCATCTAACCTGGTTTGGGATTCTGGGATTGGGTCTCCCTTGAGGCGCCAGATTTGGAATGCTGTGGGTGAGGTTGTGTGGGGAGGTGGGGGTTTAATCTGTGGATTTGCACAGGCTTGGCTTGGGTGGGAGGGTGTAGTGCATTGTGGGATGGGGTGAAAAATCTGGGTATGTGCTTATAAAGGGAGGGCGCTAACACTAAACCATCTGCTGTTTTTCCTCTATCTGTGAATGTGTATGGCATGTGTGTGTTGTGTGTGTTGTGTGTGTGTGTATACAACACATATACTAATAGCTGTTTATGTTCTGCCACCCCAGTTCGGTCAGAGCACGGTATCCGCTATGTGAAGCTACCTTCTGCTTCCAGTCCGTCTTCTGTACTGCGGTTCCTGGAGAACATGTGCCAACATCTAGAGAGTGACAGTCTTTTCAGCTCACAGCCATTCAGCCCCTACAACAACAACACCCGCGTCTACAGCAGGACCAAGTCAGGTGGGCAAACATGTGGATGGAGCAACTGTAAAGGGAGGTTGCAGTTTGTAGCTTACTGTAAACTCACTTACACTACACATCTAGCTACCTCACAAATCTCGGCAACTCAAATACACTCTACACATCTCAATAGTCTGTGGTTATTTTTCCTCTGTGCTGCCTCTAGTTATTTTTCAACCAAACAAAAGAATATGACACATTTCACAGGAGTTATTGCTGCTTAAAGTTGTTTGTTAATTTTTATTTGAGGTATTGCTCATGGTGATTGTTATCTTTATATTAGCCTAAAACTTTGACGTTGGAGACAGAATTTTCGGGACTACTTTGTCTGGTTCAGATTTTCACATAAACTACAGTCTGAAACTGCCATTTTCTGCTGTGGGATCTTATCAGAGGTCTGTGCTCTTTGTGCTTTGCTCTTGATTCTTTTACCTCCATCATTTATGAACTGAGAAATGTCCTACTAAACAAATCTTCTCCTGAGTTTTCCTACATAAGTTGGTTACTTTACATCTGTGTGTGCAGTCCTTGTGCAGCAGCTTTTCTATTTGAGTTTTTCTCTCTTACACCCTTTCTTGAAACAGAACCACTGTCTCACGCTGAGAACGGCCTGTCCAATGACGATTCCACAAAGGATCCAAGTACCCGCTCCCTTAACACCCCATCAGACTACAGAACAACAAAGAAGGAGCGGTCATATTACCCTGGACACACAAACACACCGCCACCCCTACGACGTGTCAGTTCTACCTCGACTGAACTTGGTCCAGTGTGTACACACAGACGAGAAGAGGGTATGGTCAAGCATGATCACAAGTCACTTTGCTAATGTAGTTCACTTATATTTTCACCTAAGATAAGCGTTCACAGCACCGTTCAAATGTATGTCAATATGTATGTCATTGAACACCATGTTTAGTCTGACTGAGGCTGTCTTCAGTTCAGCAGTGCATTCAGCTCCCTATTATCATCAAACTGTGAAAAACTGTGTAGGAAACTAGATGGACATGTTAGTTTTATGTATTAATTAGAGGAAGATTACATCACAAATGTCTTTGCTGTTTGTGTGTTTCTATTACACTTAGGCACTTTTTGCTTTTAGCTACACAACAACTTTCCCACTTCTGCCAAAACTTAAAAAAACCTTTACAGTATTTTAAAATTAGTTTGAATGTTTGACATTTCACTCGGTTTTTTTTTGCACAAATTGAAAATATGCATAAAAACAGGTGGATGGAAGTGCACCCACTGATTCAGTCAATGGCAATGGAAATTCACTGTACCATATACTTCATGCGTTGGTTGAAAACAGCATTTCTGACTGACCTTTTTTGTTTCCAGGTGACTCTTTAAACAAGAAATTTGTAAAAGCTTCTTAGATATGCAGCAGATTGCTACATATAGGGTATAGTACTAAAAGCTAAAGTTGCACATCTGAGGCAAAAAAACAGCATCTTCTCCAGTCAGTTGTCAGTGTAGAAGACATGGAAATAAAGAAACTGCATCGGTCTTGTTTTGGTGTGTAAAGCTAGATAGTCCTAATAATATGCATAAGTATGACTGGGGTTTAGTAAGTGGTCGGTTGTTCAGGTGTAAGCAGCAAAAGCTTTTGCCAATTATTATTCTTCCCCGTTTATTTTAATGTGGGCTAAATTTGACAAATGTACACTGTTAAATGAAATAGCTGTCCATGTTAGGCTAGTGGTTAAGGCACAGTATGTCAACATACGAGTCATCAGTGTGACGATTCGCTGTGGCGACCCCTAAATGGGAAAAGCCGAAAATGACTTTCTTTCCTACACTGTTAAATGCAGTATAGGTATCAGTTTGATGTGGCTTTCCTTTCTCTTGTCCTCACAATCTACAGCAGCTAGTTCAACAACAGGCCCAGACCATGTGAAACAGGACAAGGAGGGCTCAGGGAACGATGCTTCTTCCTGGTCAGTTGATGATGTCATACGGTTTGTCCAAGAAGCTGATCCCCAGACTCTGGGCCCACATGTTGAACTGTTCAAGAAACACGTGAGTATTTAATTTATATTAACTTTCTTCTTTCTCTTGATTAATGATCAACAGACTACTAGACTGTTGGCTTTCAATCTCCATGCTCAAGGGAAATGAGACTCCCCACCTTTACCATTTTGTTCTGAGAGGAAGTGTTTGTGACACTCCTCCCTCCGCTGACACTGTGCTCCTCTCTCTACAGGAGATCGATGGCAAGGCGCTGATGCTGCTGCGCAGTGACGTCATTATGAAGTACATGGGACTGAAGCTGGGCCCGGCGCTCAAGCTCTGTCATCACATTGAAAAACTGAAACAGACCAAACATTAGAGGATAAAGGCAGTCTCGTTTCACTGGCAACCAAACACACACAGATACATAATACTCCGCAGGGATGTAGTACAGTACAAATCTTAACCAGGGTTGTAGCTTCCACTGAGGTCATGGCCTCTGTAATATTTGTGATTTTAGGAATTAAAACTTACTAGCTGTTGGTATTGTATGTGCTAATTTGACTACTTTAAGGCCAACAGATACAAAATAGCACTTTCCTCTGAAATTTATTCTTGGCAGCGTGGAGAAGTCTTTGAAACAGCATTTAAGGACATTTACAGACCACAAGTTACTTTCATATTAAAACAGATACACAGTACATTAATTAATAATTTGCACAAGTGTAATTAGTATCAGATATCTGAGCATCTGTGTGTTTTTTTTTGTCCACATTAGTGACTTTTTGCCTTATTACAAACAACTGGAGGCCATAATTTACGTGTCTTTTAAGTTACAGCTACATTGCCAGTTTTATACACGCACACAGACATATGCTGTAGGTCTTTGCAGTTTTGTCTCAGATGTCCGGCTGATAAAGTATTTTTCTGTGAACAGAATTTCAGGATGGATGTTCTGCATTCAAGATTGGGAAAGTTACTTCAGGTACTGACAGTGAACGTCTCAATGCATCATTTCTGACAATGCAATAAATGTTTCTGAATGACTGCATCTGTTACAGACTGTCACATTTAGTTTATGCAAGCCAGTGAGTGTATGAAGTCATAAGGATTATTCCCCACAGGTACTGAACTCCAGGAGCGCTCTGTTATGTGAATGAAAAGTGTTGAAGGGTTTCAAAATGTTGGAGAAGTCTTGTTCCCTTAAGTTAGTCATTGCATAAATTATGCCTGTCCTTAAATAGTTTAGTTGTTCTTTATAAAGCTTATATATTAACTTTAACAGAGTGGGCACCATTTTTATTTAATTGGTACTTTGGAAGGAAACCTTTCATCAGTTGTAATTCTGCAGGCCATAGATGTAGAAAATCAGTTACTGAAGAGTTATGTCTCTTTTATTTGTCTGTATTGTATGCTGGAAGACATTCAAGCTAGATGGTTTTAGCTTGAGCACTGATGTGGCCTAATGATTGTGTTATGCTGTGACAGTCACACTATCAAACACACTACACGAGACATAAAAACATACAATGGCAGGGATGGTTTTTTTGGTTTGAAAGCAAAAAATGAAGACAAGGCCATTAGTTGTCAGGTTTGAGTGCTGTAAAGTGCTACTGAGAGAGTACATGAAGGAGAAACTCTTTTGTATAAAGTCAAGCCAAAAGGTTGTTTTTGATATCATTTTGTATTGCAACAAAGTGTATCAGCCTGTATCAAGCATAAGTGTAATCACATTTTTTTCTGCCTGAAATGTTTTGTGTGTGTGTGTGTGTGTGTGTGTGTGTGTGTGTGTGTGTGCGTGTGTGCACCATCAAGTAACTACCTACAGGACGATGTTGTGTCCAAGTAATTATTCACATCTTAAAGTATTTATCTGTTTTTCATGGCAGAAATTTTCTGAACATTTCAGAACCATTTTCAAACCAAATCATGTCTGTTGTAGCTGCATTTCACACTGTTGCTCTCCCATAGTGGTAACAAGTTAATACTTGAAGCCATCTCGCTTTAATGTGAAACTCAGGTTTTAGTAGGGGTTGTTTCTTAGAATTTGTTTTTAGCATTTTTCTGTCCATGACTACAACATAGAAAGACTGCACAGCAACCAACTCTGAATATCTTTTATGCCTTGTCATTACTCAACAGCATTTCATGTGTATATATACAACTTTTTACTGTAAGTTCAACAAAAGATGTTTGTTAAATATGTTTGATATGCATTCATAAAATTAAACTTTTGTTTACATCATCTTAGTGTTCAAGAACTTAGTAGCTACTAGCACAAGTTTTTTTTTACCTAACCTAGTCCAGGTGTTCCCAACTTTGACTTGACATGTGACCCCTTAAAACAAAGCATATCTTTGAGTAATGACCAAATCAACTAAAGAGGTTTTTAATTCTTGTTTGTTTGCTTGTTTTCTTTTTAGAGATGAAGGGGGAAAAATCTTTAGTAATTTTTGAGAAAAAGTAAAGTTTAGAAGAAAGTGTGAAACAAAGTCTCTCATTTTGTCAATCACCTTGTGACCCCTCAGTTTATATATATAGGCCGTAGTGATAGATGTAGCAATCCCAAGTGACATCAGGAAGAAGGAACACGAGAAGCTCAAGAAATACCAAGGGCTGAAAGAAGAGCTAGAAAAGATGTGGAAGGTGAAGGTACAAGTGGTCCCCATGGTAATAGGAACATTGAGGGCTGTGACCCCCAAACTGGGAGAGTGGCTCCAACAGATCCCAGGAACAACATCTGAGTTCTCTGTCCAGAAGAGTGCAGTCCTAGGAACAGCTAAGATACTGAGCAGGACCCTCAAGCTCCCAGGCCTCTGGTAGAGGACCCGAGCATGAAGGAAGGAATAAGACCACTCCAAAGTGGGGGGTGAGTGGGGAATTTTTTTTCTTTTTTTCTTTTATTTATAAATGCTAAAACGAGCTAATACATAAATGCAAAGAAAGAAAGAAAGGGAAAAATGTAACTTTATGTCTTCATTTTTGTGTGTTGGCATGAATGTGTCTTGGGGTTTGGGGGTCAAAGGGTCATGAATGTCTTATTTAAGGAAAGCAACAGCATAGTAGGAATCATTGTTCAAAAGATCACTCAGTTCAAATAGCTCACCAGCAGCATTCACTATAAACAGGCTCGTTATATGTTGCTTCATGGTTGTGAACTGAGCTACATTCACAGCACACTTCTCCCCGTTTAAAGCTGTATTACCAAATGCTAACAAGTATTTATGCATTGAAAATGTTAAATCAATATTATGTGTAACTTGAAGGAGAAAGTGTCCTCTCTTTATTTAATACAAACCAGTAATGGTTCAAAAGGAGGCACTCTGCTTAAAATCAAGTTACTCTCCTCCCTGAAATAAAGAACAGCCAAAATGTAATCTTTGAGAATGGATCTCTTAAGGTAGATGACGCTCTTAATTTTTTGCTTTTAAATGGGATTTGTGTCTAGGTCATCTTAAGGTTAAACTAAACTAAATACAAATGAAATATAAAGATGTCCCATTTACCACAAATAAACAAGTTATGCTTTCTCATCATTCAAGAGACCATAAATATGACTGGTGTCCAGTGGTAGAAGGGACAATCAGATGTGTTACTAGGGTTAAAAGTAGTAATACCACATAGAAATACTTTTCTATAACTAAAAGCAAATTAAATCTCAGAGCAGGAAAGTCTAAGTCAAGTCTAAGGCCCTCAATTTTATGACTGGACTCAAATTTAATCCTGTTGCTCAGAATTCATTATGAGACAAGCTCAGGGTTTATAGAGAAAGCAGTGTCATTATGTTGAAGATATTTCCAATTCAACCAGAATGAATCTGAATGTGATTCTGATAAATGCTGGACTCAGCAGAGCGGAAACTTCACTGAAACCAGACAACGTTAAACCACTGCCATCTAGTGGACAGATCCCCTCAGTGCATTTGTCTCTGATGGGGATGAAATGAAGTGTCACACAAAAGGCCTTTAATTTCAATGCAGTCACATTTATTGGCTTTTTTTTTTTTTTTTTACTATGCACAGTTATTAAGGAGCCTGATGAGCTGGTAAAAAGAATTAGATATAGAATAATGGAATTTTCACAATGTTGTAACCCCCCACCAAAGAATAAGTACAAGGCTGAATGTGTTGCACAGCTCCAAAATATACAAAGACCTGGAAATAATTGTGTAAACGTTGAAAAGAAAAATGTATTTTTAATTTTTTATTGATTTTACAAAAGAAAGAATTTGCAAGATTTTTTTCTTTAAAAACATATTTACAGGTTTATACAAAAATACAAAAGTGATTCAAATATGTTAAGTCCTAGCTAGTTTTAAACATGGAGCTTCTTTTAAATAGTTACAATTTGTCTTTAACATCTGTGTTTTAATATTTGATAAGGTGTCACATATTTAAAGTCTGTTTAGTGTTATTCCATACTGTACACCTTTGAAAAAAAATATATAAAATGGTTCCCTTTAGGGAAAATTGCATGCAGACACTGGAGAACAGGTTGGGAAAAATAATCTATGAAGGTTATAGATTCTTGTTTTGTTGTGTTCCCAAGCTGTTGAGGACTGAGGTTTGAGAGGACTGGGTGAGTGCTAAACATAGGTCTGCATGACAACCTCACAATTTGTCTTTCTAGTCAAATTGTGTCAGTCAGTCATCTATCCGCTGCTTTAAACAGTCTTTAAATACATCGATAGCATGAATTCCAGGTACAGTACTGAAAATTACACTAAACAAATTATCAAATACTTTGAATATTCTTGTTTTTAAACTTTTAAATGGCATTTTGCAGTCACACTGCATCTTTCATATAATGCTATGTCAATACCACAGATTTATTTTAATTACTTAGTAAAGCTGATTTGTGGAAATCAAAAATCTGTTATGGGTCAGATGTTGAAACAATGATTTTCTGATCAGATCAAACTAGGTTTTGGATCTAAAAATGCAGTGTTTCCCATTTCTATATATATATTTTATTTGTACATTTTATCCAAAGCGGCTTGTGCAGATATGCACGCTCAACTGAAGCACAGATTCTCCTGGAAAATATTCCTCCCACTTCCAAACTTCAACAGCTCCAGCGAGAATAGGACCAGCACCAAAAATGTTCAGATTCTCCCACCCGTCATTTTCTTTACAGTCTCTTATATGTATGATTGTCCAGTGAGTTGATATACAGTACAAGATAAACCCCTGTTTGTGATCACGACTATATAGAACAGAATTATCCAGACAGTTTGTACATCTATAGAACACATTACTGAACTTGACATTTTAATGAAAAATACAAATTCTTTTCTTGTGGTATGGAGACATCCCTCAGATAAAAAACAACAATATGGTGGTGTCCTTTTCTTTTCTTCTTTTTTTCTTTACTTATTGCATGCAATAGAAAACACAACAAAACAATGAATAGGAACAAGTGCGCTTTAGCAGTATGAGTTTGATGAATGTAAAATTCTGTAATAATTAGTTCACAGCTTTTTACTCTCTCCATCTTACACAGTGTCAGTTCTGCAATTCAGGTTCACTGAGTTTCAAACGTTTGTGGTTTATTCTTTCTATCTATCTATCTATCTATCTATCTATCTATCTATCTATCTATCATTTACAATAAAACAGTAATATGCTTGTTGAGGTATTCACAGAATACAGTGAATGGTTTCTTTTGAAGTACAGTCTCTGAATGTAAGAAGAAGTATATATGTTGTGTTTGCTGTGGCAGGCAGGTGAGAGTTCAAAGTTTCCACAGATGATAGGTTGCTTCTGTAACGCACTGGTCACTCTGCATGCGTAACATTTTTCAGAAGGATGAAAATGTTTTTTGTTTTTTTTTACAGAATACTCTATCCCCAGTGTTAGAGAGAAAAGGCTGCAGCAATATAATGGGCGCATTGCCGACTTTTAAACATTGGTGCTATGTAGTCCTTTGGTCCTTTTGTCTCCTCTCTTTCAGATTTTGTGATATAAAGTTGGCAGGGTAATACAAAATGGCATACACCAGCCACTGGGTTGAGCTTTCACCTGTCTAATGCTACTGGGTCAGTGCAAATGAAGGAGAGGCAACAAAAAGAGGAGAACAGTGTACATTATTAAAATTCATATGTAATGTTGTCGGTGAGACCTGACTTCTTTGCTACACTCAGGTTGGTTCCCTATAAATCTTCTGGTTGTTGTTTAATATAGTTATGACTTTTTATATTCAGTACAAATATACATATGCAATTTCATTATAAGATAGAATATTCTTTTCGAGAATTTTTCTCAAAGAATCATGAAGTGCGAAAGTGAGGTTGGTTCTTGGAAATCTTTCCAAATTAACCTCTAGTCAAACTGATTGAGGACCTTCTAAAGCATTTTCACCGTCTGCGCTCAGTTTTATTTCTAAAATTGCTTTGAGTCAGCACAGCAAGACTGCAGCTGGAAGAGCTTTAATCAGTCTAAACATACTAGATTTCAAGGTTGGGTTTACATAAGTACATATGTGATGGAATTCTAGTGGAACATGGTGCAGGTCCAAGTACTATATGTGCAGAGAATTACTTTATAAATAAATACTCTGCTTACAACCACCTCTAGTAGAGAAAGGCCACTGTGCGATTGTCCAAAATTAGCCACAATCATTGACAAATGGATCTAGGCACAAGCCCTTGCTCCTTCTTGTTAGACACTCAGCTCACGGGCAATGTGGTACAAATGTCACTAAAACCATTCACAGTGAAGGATAATAAGATTATAAGAATTATTCTTATAATACAAGGGAACCACAAAAATGTTGACATAAACCAGGATCCAGGGGATGTTTCCATATAGAGTCATGCAACATGTTGAAACTTTATCATCATGTTCTGAGGCGCAAGTTTACAAAAATACATGCATCATGTTATCTTTTTGGATATAATTTATGTGAAGAAATATATGATTGGCTCTTTGTGATATATTCTCTATAACAGGTCAGCATATGGAAATATAACAGATACGTTGGTGCTGTGTTGAGATGTTAGTAAATTCTACAATGAAACAACCCTTGTTTGTTGGCAGGAATATTGTGTATAGACTGAGAAATCTGGCTGATGCTTTGGGCATCATAAGTTCAAAGAATATTAAATTTCATAAGAAATGTTTTTTTAATAAGAAAGCAGTTCCTCAGCAAATCAGACACACACCATTCAAAACACAAGAAGTAAAAATTCCAGTGGATGTTGCATGTGCTTGTTCATGCACACACATGTTGTCCATTTCCACTATTTTATAATGATTTACCAAACATTTGGGACCACTTTTATTAAAAAAAAAGTTTTTAAAAAGACAGTTCAATCAAAATAGGTCTTGTTATTTTAACTAGGAGGGAACTCGCTCTTTCTTTTTTTTTTTTTTGATAATACAGTATTTAGGAATATTTGCAGAGTTTTCATAATCATCTCTTTATGATTCAGTTTCACAGCACTCTGTCTGACACACTTAAATCCAATAGTAGAGCCAAAACTGGGTGCATTTAGCAACAGTCCCATTTTGTGTGTCACAAGAATTACACTCTTGACTTTGATGACACACCTGTCCAAGATTAGAAAAGTAGAAGGGACTATTTCAAATGTAGGGCACAGCTAAGAATAGAGGGCATCTCTCATCGGGTGTTTTTAGGAGGACCTGTCATCATGGGGGCTTCCATCTGAATTCTCTGTCTCCCCTTCGGAAATGGCTTGCATGGGGGCCGTGTAGAGGCGGCTGCGTGTACTGTAGCGACTGCTGTTGGCTACAGGAGGAATCCGAGAACGTCCCTGTCGAGATGCAGCTGACATAGGCAAGGTTTTTGGGGTGAAACTTTCAGAGTTGGCCCTGGGAAAAAGGCCTGGTATCTGGATTGGGTCCGGGCCAGCAATGGGGAACTCTTGGACTGTAGAGGGTGGCTCCTCAGCTTGTCTAATGGGCCCTTCCTGAAGGGGTTCCCCTGGGGTTTTAGGGGTGATAGGGCTCTTCAGAATCTCTATAGCTGACATGCGATAGCTAGAATCAGACCTGCTACCTTTCTTCAGCAATAGGAGTTTGAACTCCTCGTTGGATGTGGTGGATTTCTTTGCACTGCGGTAGATTGGCACAGGAGCTCGCTGTGACCCAGCAGCAGTGGCTAAGGTGGCTGGGATGTTGAGAGGAGGGGCTGGAGGAATAATGACAGTGGATGCATTACCAGGAGTAACTGGTGCTGTTGGGCACAGACGAGACTTCATGTTTAAGTCTCCTGAATCTTTACGACCCAGGACCTTTCTTTTGGATCTGAAAACATACATTTAAAAAATAAAAAAAAATCTTTGAAGTAGCAGAATCATACTGTACATGTACCACTGTAAAAAGAGAACCAAACAAATTACATAACAGTACAAAATTTAACAGCACCTGTGTATCATGGCAAACAGGTCCTCAGTTGTACGGGTCTTGTTGGGTGACGTGATAATAATGTCATCATCCACTTTAGTGTCATCCGTCAAAGGGGAGAGTGAATTATCACTGGGCGTTGAATCTGCAGGACATAATGTCCCTATCACATGTCATCTGGTTGTCTGATCATTTAGTACACAATAAGTGAAACAACTATCCTTTAAACTTTGCTTTCTGTTTATAATTAAAAATTACTACACGATTAATCAGCAAAATTTTTAATGTAATTAAGTTGCGGCATGTTACTGTGTTGTTTTTTTCTAATCTTTCTAAAAGAGTACTACTTCTACGTGTTGAATTTACCTTTACTGAAGTAATCCTCTGTGTCAGGAGTGGTGGAGTCGTCTTTGCTCTCATGTGTCTGCTGCTGATGGGCACTTCTGGTAGCACCTGATGTCATTTCCTCCTCTTCTTCCTGCTCTCCCAGTCCCCTTTTCCTTGCATCGCTGATTAGGTAAGGATGCGATGTCTCTATTGTGGTACCAGGCACTTTAACTGGACTAGCCCATGGCCCTGAGTCTGAGTGGCATCCTCCAACAAACTCATACGCTGGGGGTGGAGGGTGGTCCGATCGCATGCCTCCTCTGGAACATGCAGTCCTTGGTGGCTCTTTCTCCTGCTCTTCCTCTTCCTCCTCCTCATCTTCATCATCATCATCATCCTGGGAGAATGAGCGCTCCCCCAAAACCCTAAACTCGGTGTGTCCATGAGCTGAGTGCGTGAACCCTCTGAACTCTGTGTGTGAGTGGATATGTGTGTGTAGATCAACAGGCGAAGGGTGGGGAGCACGTGGCACAGGCCGATGCAAGGGTGAGCTGTCATCAGAGAGGTCTGATGATGGATCCATTCGTGTTCTGAAGGCTGTCATAGCCCAGAAGGTTCCAGGACCATACCGGTCCTGTCTGAGTAACAGACTTTCATAGGATGGAGGCCCATCAGGGTGGCGCCCAGGGGGAGGTGGCTGTGAGTGTTCAGGGGAGGAGTTGTGGTCATGAGCTGGGGGCCTGGGAGGTGGTCTGCGAGGAGGGAGTGGCCTAGTGCTAATAGGTGGTGGAGCCAGAGTAGAACTATTTGGAGGACATTTGGGTCTTGTAGCTGTCTCTGGTCCACTCGCTGTTTCCTGGTCTGCACTGGTAGGACCATCTGTAGAATGGCTAACAGAATGGACATGCGCTGAATGGACAGCAGATGGAGTTATCGCCAATAGACCAGAGCTGGGAATTGATGAGGCAGAGTTTGAACTTGTTGGTGGGTTGGTAGTTGATGCCTCAGGGGCCAACAACTTTGTTCCAGTGGCTAAGACATTTGCACCTCTGTGTTTGCTATGATGAAGTGTGTGTATGTGGTGTGTCCTGTGGGATAGTGTATATCTTACATAGCCACCATGATGAACAGCAAGATCAAGTTGAGAAGGTGGAGGTGGGAAGTCTGGGTCTCTCTTATAGCCAGAGGAAATGGAAGCTCCATCTCTGGGGATGTGCTGCAAGGAAGAGAGAGAAGATTTCCTCTCGGGCACTTTGGGCTTTCTCTTGCCAGTTGAGGGAGACAGGGGTCCTGGGAAGAATGCTGCTGAAGATGAGGGCAAAGTTGATGTTGGAGTCTCTGATTGACTAGAATAGCCACTTGATGGTGAGGCCAGGCCAGCCAACTTCTCAGGTGAACCAAGTTTAAAATCTCCAGGTTGGAGAGATGGACTAGTTGGCCTGGCCTCTGAAGCCTGGGTATGGGCCTGGGTTTGGGTTTCTGTAGAGGAGGAAGAGCTGTCTGGTGACTTGATGCCTTCCATGACAGTAGTGCCCGTGGCTGTGCTTGAGTTGGACATAGATGTGTACTCACCATTACTGGACTTCAGTTCATTGTTGTGAAGCCACAAGTCTGCATAGTCAGATTGCACAGCACCTTCATCCTTAAATGAGTGTGTATCTGCAGAGCTGAAAGACACAGGCTCTACTATGTCCATGGTTTCACCCAGTCCCATTCCCCAAGTTCCCAAAGGCTCTGCCACTAGACAAGATGTCTGTAATGGTTCTGGTGCACCTCCAAGCTCTAGCTCAAGTTCCAGCTTCATATCTGTGGAAGACAAGGTAAGCTCTTGTTCTCTAACTGTCTTTGGTTGATCCTGATCTGCCTGTGTGTCTGTTCCAACATCAACACTAGTACTGGTCTCCTTCAGAGAGGAGGTCCGTTTGGGTGGTGGAGGTTTGACTTTTGGTTTCCTCAGCGGACGACAGGTCTTTCCCACGGTCATAGTGCCTGCTCTGATATCAGCTAAGGGCTGAGGGTAAACTGCATGGGATAGTGGTGGCGGCACAGTGTTGGATTGACTACAGTCAGGTCCTGGGTCTGCATAGTTATACGTGTATCCTCTGTAATTCTGATTACACTCCCCAAAATTCACAGAAGAGGAGTAGAAACCCCCTGTACCAGATTGGTAATGAGAGCCAGACTCTTTATCAGTGTTGCTGGTCTTGTCACTGAAACAGGTTTGGTCTTCTGACCCTTGTGTGGATCTGAAATCTTGGGCTAAACCATGGCTTTGGCTCAGGTTTTGGGTCTGGTCAGGGTCTTGGTCTGGATCAGTCTGGTCTTGGTCTGGAGGGTATGTCCACTCCCCCTCACTGGCTGTACTGACCCCTGCGTCATCCAGTTGGTCTGTGGCTGAGGATGTAAATGAGCTTGACCTGTGGCCCTGGCCCTGGGGTCTGAGGTCAGAGAGGTATGAAGGATCCAGGGAGAATCCCTCATCAGTGGCATTAGGCACAGTGTTGAGTGACAGTTCTGAGTCGCAGTGGGATGAGCCTGTCAGTGGTGGAGAAGAGGGTGGGGGGATGGTTTCAGATGTCTGAGAAGGGCAAGTGGAGCTGGAACCACTCCAGTTCCCACTTGACGATTGGTGATCCTCCTTGTGGTCCACATGGGTGCCTAGGACACCTGTTGTAGACACAGAGTGAATAGGGCTACTGAAAGTATCTGAACTTGATGAGATCTCACAGCTACCCATGTCAGCCTTGCGGGGCAAACGAGAACGGCCCCTCTCCATCCAGCTATGCTCTGGGCTCCCTCCTCCACCCCCTCTGTCTCTTTCCCCGGATCGCTGTAGCCTTTTTAGGCTTCCAAGTTGCAGTGGCTCAGGAGCTGCCTGATCATCTGTGCTCTCTTCTTCATCCTTCATCATCATCATCTTCATTCTTGGACTAGGGCCAGATGGAATAAAGTCCTCTGTTTCATAAGGTGACAACTCCTCATCTTCGTCATCATCATCATAATTATCATCATCATCCTCGTCACTGTCCATCAGACATCCACCCTCTCGTGGGAGGCTACGAGAACGCAAGCGTCCGCCGTGGGCTGCAGCATTGGTGTAGGTGGGGTCTGACTGGTCACCGAGGGAAGAAATGTTGCCCGTTGAATGGGACAGAGAGGCAGGAATTCCCTGATGGCTACGTTGAGCTCTGATGCGTCTTCTAGAAGGAGCAGCTGTACCTGAAGGAGAAAGGCAGAAGAGAGAGGGGACTAGAGGGAGACATTTTTAATTCATGTCGATGTCAACCATATGTTACATATAATTTATTTGGTGTATCTCATTTGAGGATGAACCTATTATGGTTTGATAATATTGTCAGCCTTCAGATGATAGTTCTGTTCAAACTTAGCAATTGCAGCTGTCTGTGAAAAGGCATATCCAGACATTATCTAGAAAAAATTAAACCAGTAACTGCAAAGTCAAACATTTTGTAATGTCATTGATAGAACAGATAAATTAAGCAAACTCCTGATCACAGTAATTTAGTCTTTAGTAAAGACTAAATGGAACTACAATAAAGGACCAAATTTATATTTAGATGGTCAGAAACATACATGCTATAAGGAAATCATCCGTCTGGCAGCCAGAGTCACGAGTGTGATGGAGGCGCCCACTTATTGAGAGATCTTCCTGACAGAGAGAGAGTTGGTGCGAGTTGGCATGGATGATCACTGTGCGCTCTCTTGCTACGGGTGATTCATCTGAGTCTGAATGCAAAGAGACAAAGCATGTTGAGTGTCAGAAATATCATGTATAAACCTGTTTTTTATTACCTAATCTTGTTTTTGTTGCTTTGGCCATTAGTCCTACAGATAATGGTAATGTTTTACGCATCAGACTGTAAATAAATACACAGCTGACCCATTTTATTAAAGCTATATTATTTGGATGTGTAAACAAATGTAAAAGAATCTGAAATATACTTGACAACTGCCCATTGCTTGTAAAACAGCATGCATGCATACCTATAGATACATATCTCAGAGTTGATCCAGGAGGTGGCCCCTAAGTAATAATAATAATAACTTATACAGCACTTTTCTGTGCATTGCAGCACACTTAAAGCACTTTCACACTATTTGGCCATTCAACCATTTGTACTCCCACATTCATGCACCAGTGTCATCACCATGAGCAACTAGGGGTTCAGTGTCTTGCTCAAGGACACTTTGACATGTGGACCAGACAGGATGGGAATCGAACTGCTAATTTTCCAGTTAGGAGATGATCCGCTCTACCTCCTGAGCCACAGACGCCCCAAACTAGCTGCTGTATTACAATTTGGGTAACAGATTTAATGCATTGTCTAGTATATGATTGTGCTGCTCATTTAGCTTCCCGTCATCAACTCATTGTTGTGTTACGAGGACACGTCATCTCTGATCATAGCAGTTCAAATAGTAAAATGTTAGCAAAGCCAACAGCTAATGTCAAAGCTACAAATTCCTAGTTTTTCTCCCCAGCCTCAATTTCCCAATGACCCAATTAAAGTTTTCAAACCAATACCCCATTTAGTTTCTTTTGCATATCTCACTCTTTTCTTACAAATAGGAGTTGTTTAACACATTTCAGCAAATGATTAAGTAGTAATTGTAGCTGTCTACAATTTGAACAATTATCAACTGTTTATGTCCTTTTGAAAATAGATTAGTTGACTCTCAGTTAAACAGTCTTATATTCCATTTCACTGTTCACACTGCCACATGCACATTAGTTCATGCAACAGTAAAAAAATGTCAAGCCCTCAACAACACAGTAAAATGTACAAAACGTGAAGGGGTGTGAATACTTTCAAAAGTAACCAAATAAACTATAAATGATGCTACTGTAAACTGACAAATTGGTTTTAATGTGAAAGTTGAACTTCACTTATGGGGAGTGTCTCATATCAGCCAAGGATGTTGAGTAAGTGCCAACTGTGATACATCACGTTGCTGAATCCATTTGAGGATTTTTTTTTACCTGAAGGTGTAAAGTATTTGCTTGTAGACCAGCAGACCACTGTTTGATGTCATGAATGCTGCATGTGACAGCATCACAGCAGAAGCAAGCAGGGGATAGATACAGCGCACCAGGTGATTGTTCTCCTGTTGTATTGCTAGGGAGGGTATCATGTATGAGGTGGATGAAAATCTGAGACCAGACAGATAGGACTGGCACGATGCTCTGTTGCTATACATACCCATTTGTTAGTTATTTTATTTCCCTTTGCTTTACAGTATACCTCAGTTGTACTGTGTTGAATTTACATATTTTGAGAAAGTAAAGTTTTTTTGTCACAATCTCAGGCAAAAACTTCCTGTTTTGGACTTTTATTTCCTCTGTCCCATCCTACACTCATCTTCCCCAGCTTTAGCCAATGATTGACCTTAATTACTTACATGTGTTTCTCATCGTTTCCCTAGACCTTTACGCTCACCTCACCTTGTCATTGCCAGTTCTCTGTCAGAGACTGGCCTATGAAGAACTGTCTCATGATTCACCTGTGTACAAGTGCAGCATTCATGCTCTGTGAGTTTATGTTTTTTCCTCATTTTGCTTGTGGACACCAATTTAGGACTCTTTTTCCCTTGGGTTCTGGCTGATGTGCTGTGCTCTTATATCTATCTAAGTGCTCTCTCTATCTTCTGCCTTTTTCTCTTGTCTGTTTGTATTAACTTCCAGTAACAGTTTTTACAGTAAGTGCTTTTCTGTAATTCATGGTCTTGGAGTTTATGCCCTTGCATTTAATTTGTCAGTATTAGTTTTACTTTCTAGTTTTTTTTCTTGTTTTTCTGTGCTGTGTTCTTACATGGGAACGTTGAGCCCTGCCTTAGTCTTTTGTGTTCCTTTACTTTACCGGTGTTTAGTCAAATGTTAGTCCTGCTTTGATCTGTTTTGAGGCCTACAGACCTAGGCTGTAGTGTCTTCCTGCTCTGTACCATCATTCTGGTTTATTATAAATCATAGTTCAGCTCTCTTTCTGTCTGCAATTGGGTTTGCTTCCACAAAAACCATGACAGTTTGCACATATAACTTCAAGTGTATGTGCTCCGTTGTCCCACTAACAAAATAGCAAAATGTTTTGACAACGTGGAAAAAGGAGCATTTTATTTCGACAGGGTTAAATTATTAATTGATACAAGGATTTACTTTCAAAACCTAAACTAAAGGTTTTGGGTGAGGTAAAATCATCTTGCTAATTAACTAGTGTTGTGCTGTGCATGTTAAGCTTTGAAAAGGCCAGTGACGTTTTAAGAAAGGAGACAAAGCTATTGAGGAAAACTGTAAGACCCTTGCAGTACAATAACCATTTTCCAAAAGATTTGCTCTATAACATACCCATGTCCTGATGAACTCTTTTGGGTATTCCTGTAATAGTCTTCCTCCTCCTCAGCTTTCTTCTCCTCTGAAGAACCGACTGAGAATGGACCAGAGAGCAACGAACACTTGCTTCCCTGTCAAACCCAACTCCTGTAATAACAACATGGAAGCCATAGCCTTTAGCATGCTAGAGGTTAGCAATACTTCCCAAGTGTAATTCTCACATCTTGGTTTATTTCTAGTAATTTTATTATCTTCCCATATGGTCTACTGATTTAGGATTCCTGTCTTTTATGCAGGCAGTCTGGGTTTGAATCCTGATTTGGGAACAGTTATTGTATGGTCAAATGTTGGCACTGTTGCACTTGATCTCACCAAACCTAACATTACGCTTAATGTTTCTGTTTTTCTTCTTTCTTTTACCTGTGACGTTGATGGGGATGATGCAGGAGGAGATGGCATGAGAGTCAGCAGTTGTCTTCTCATTTGATGGTGGGAGGTTTTCCTTGGACCAGTTTTTCTGTTGATCCTGGGTTGAGGAGGCATTGGGGGCTGAAGCATTGGCTCTGTGGCCTCCCAAGACTTCACCGCCTTCGCCTTCCCCTGTCGAGGTAGCCTGGAAGACATAAGACGTCATACAAATGGTAGGAGCTGATTCAATCCTAAGTTTTAAAACATTACTTAGCTGGACAGACTAAAAAAGTTATTTGCGGTGGTGATGTATAAAATGAAATAACCACTGTTTTGCCATTTCTCTAACATCTTTAGATATGTAATGGCAAAACCATAACCTACCAAAGGCCATGCTGAATGAAACTTTCAATAAGTAAATAAAAAAATGAACATCTGATAAAGGAATGTGATAAGCAGATAAACATCATTAAAGCAACGCAAATGCTTTATACCTTTCTGTTCCATGGAATGAAGATGCAACCTTCAGTAGGGTGAAGTGAGTAAAAGCACTCAAACTATGAAAGCAAAATATAACAAAAAACAGTACAAATGAGATGACTCATTCAAAAGGTTTAATAATTTCAAATTAAAAAAATTAAAAGAAGGTCAAAAGATGAGTGAATGACACAGACTAACATCTTAAATTTTTTTTAAATGTGTTGACATTAAAAAATATTCCCTAATTCATTATACTTTTGAATAACTACATTATCAAGTTAAAATATTTGGCAGTAGAAGTCTGGTATACTTCGATCATTTTTCTTACCTTTCTTTGGATGATTTGAATATCTACTTCTCTCACTGGCCTCTCCTGTGGCAGAAGGAACACATGCATACAGTTATTGTAGTGTGTTTAAAACTAGTAAACAGTCTTCCACTAGTGAAATTGTTGGAAAAAAATTCTAACCACACCGAATTTCTTACTTTTTTCTGTATGGTCTTGTTGTCTGTTTCTCTCACAGCCCTCTCCTTCAGGAGATTAAAGAAAAAAAAATTGTATGTTTTATATTATAAAAAAAAAAGACTATACATACACACTATGTACTGATTTACAGGTACAAATACAACAACATAGTGAAAGAAAAAATGTTTTTATTGGAATCCAATGTAGTTTTGTTGTAAAATATAAGATGAAACTGCAGACAACATATACAGCAGGCACGTACATCAACAGACAGACACATTTCTGTTTTTACCTTCTTGGGTTGATAGTCTAACTCACGTTCTCTCTCTGCTCTCTCTTGCTGCATGGCAACATCAGAATGATGTCAGTTTATTGTAACACAATAAGAATTAGAGGTGTGAACCCGTACAAAAATATAAACTGAATTAGAGAAACATGTTTCTCTGATATTCGTCTGGATGTGGCTTTGTCTTCCTCACTGTCCCAGACATCAATGTGCAAGTGTCCAGTTGCTCAGTGGTGACTGTGATTAAAGTTGGCTGTGTTTACATGTTTGACATTTTTGTGACTGCATCATATTGGCCAGATTTGTCACATGCATCACGTAAGCTCAGAATTTACTGCATGATACAGTGATACTGTATTACTTAATGTCTTTTAAAGTAAACTACTGTATTTCTGGTTAAATGTCTACTAATTGCTTGACTTTGAGAAATGTATTTTGACTTGTGCACAGTGTGTTGTCCTTACCGCTCGTGCCAAGCGACTCCTCTGTTGCCGGCGGATGGTGTGTGGTGAAGGGAAAGTGGGCATAGGGGGTGCCACTGAAATAGAGATGGTCACCCTGTTTCTCTCACGACTTGTGGACCGCTGGTGCTGTTGTTCGTCTGTGAAACCAAACACACACATGAAAACTCACAATCCATGCATTTTGTACACAACCTAATCCGACTGTGCAGACTGGTTCAGCCTCCCTCACCTCGGTGCAGGGCTCTGAGACTGAGCTGAGCATTTCTGTGCAGCTCCTCTAGACATGGTGGTCGGGTGCAAGGATGAAACACGTTGTGTTGCTGGTGCCATGGAGCCTGATAGTGAACTGACAGCTTACTCTCTATATCAAGGTTTGACACCGCTAAGATGAGAGAAGAGACAAAATATTAAATGGAGTTTCTGATGCCTTTTGCACAAAAAGACCACAGCTACTCTGCACATTAAGAAAGTTTATGAATACATACAGTATGTCTGTACTGTACATGTATCTTTGACTTGGAGTGCATTTTAAGATGTTATTTTTGTGTGAGTGGGTGAGAACTTTTTGCCTGTGTGATAAGCAGATTTAGTCTTGCCATTGTTCCAATCTTCATCATTTTAATTGGTGAAAGGGTGAGCATATATTTAATTTCATACACCAACCTCAACCCCATGATCATGCAACCAATCAGCAGACTTTGGTCAAAAATGAACAGTGAAGCCAAGTCATCCCCTATTCTTAATGATTTCTTTAGACCTTGTATGTCGTCTGTTACCTTCAGGAACTCAAGTACAGAGAACACAACATTGCATATGACAATATTTATTTTTTCTTTTGTCTCAGAAATCATGCAGGACTCATGTGTTGGGAAAACTACCTGCCCCCAGGTAAACTGTGGGTTAGTTTGATGGGTATTGGATCCAACACATACTTACTGTAGAAAGACAGTGTGTGGTTGCAACATAAATAATGGCAGTGAAGTTGAGGCAATTATGTACTTTCCACTTTGAGGCCTTTCACTGATATTGTGCTGTAGTGGTGCATATTCCCAAACAAAATGAAATTAGACAAATCACTGACATAAACTATGACTTTCAGGACCCCAGGTGTCTGGAGCCCCTTACACACTCCCTTTTGACGTGGTATTGGTGCGCCTTTATCCCATCTCATTTTCTGTGTGTAAGGCACCAAGCTGGAATGGCAGGCCATTTTTGTTCTGCTTCTGGTCTGCTTTGGGAGGTAGTATCAAAGGCGCAACAAAGGGGAGATGCGTTCTGTGTAGAAAGAGTGAACTGATAGTCCAGGACCAAGTGCTAGATTTTGGTGATTGATGTGTGCGACACTATCACCGGTTTCTCAAGTCTGCAGGCCTCTCTGCCTCAAACTGTTCTCAGTTTCTCTCTAACTTATAAGTCGAAGCATTCCTCATGTCATGAATGCATTGACTGCAGTTGTTGTAAATGACATTCGCACACACAGCAAGAAACACGCTAACCAATTTTGCGTGATACGAAATAGGTGCTTGAAGAAGATGCGTGCATTAGAGAGAGAAAACAGCCTTGAAAGAAAACTGTGATAGGCTGACATCCAGGCTATGTTTTACAATTTACTACCAACAGGCAGAGGCTTCACATTAAAGCAAATCAAAATAGATAAAATAAGAGGAAATAATAATAAGTTGATATATGAATAGTATCATAATCCTGAGACAAGGCCATGACATGCCAATAGGTCACAGCTAAAACTACTGCTCTCCCTTTATACACTAGCAGGCAACAGTAAATTTCTCATGGTCCACCATATTTATTACTGTCAAATCCTCTAGTCAGAAAACTCAAAATTCCTTCTACCACGAATGATGTACATGTTACATTTCCAAAAATTAAAATGACAGATTTTTCAGAGAAGGTGAGACAGAAAGGACTGAATATCCATCTCTCTTATCTGCTCTCGGAGCCCCTTTAGCTTTTATAATGAATCCTATTTCTCCTCTTTTATCTCAGAATTCAAAATCCAATTGTGTCCTTGAAAGCCACACTGTACTTCAGTGGCCAGGCAACCTTTCATTGCTCATCAAGGCTTAAATATGCTTGCAATTAAATCAGTGAGATCACAGCAGCAATGCTCGGCCGAGAATAAACAAACAAAGCCCCTACAAGGTAAAAAAAAAAGCACAGCCAGCTTATTCCCAGTAAATAAACGGTTATGAGCAGGATCTAGAGTTCTGCTCAGGAACACACCAAAGATATTGGACTTTACATTCAGGCAGATAAAGATTATTAAAGTATATATTATAAGTGTAATAACATTTTTAGACAAACATTTAATTCTTTTGACTGAGTACACATGCACACTCAGTTTAAAGCACCGTCGGCCCCAGTCCCAGGGTCCACACACAGACTCTGAGGCACATTCCCACTAAGTTGATGAGGGTTCAGGGCTGTCCCACTGTGAAACTGTCAAGTGCATGGGGGCTCTCTCTCACCTTCATTTTGAGCCGTTTATGTTTACTTTCTGTAAGTCGGCATTTCTGCAGACTTTACCTGAGGGATTTCCCCACAGTTCATTGCGCTGTGATGTTAAACATGGGATTAGCCCACTGGACTGGAAGTGGAAAAAAGTAAAAAAAATAAAAAAAAGCCATAAAACAGAGATGAGAAAAATAAAGACGACAAATGGTAAGCAATCATTATGTTAGGTGATATTTCATTTTTGTGTGTTGCTTTGGACGAGCATCTGCTAAAAACTAACTTAAACATAAACTTCCTACATTACGCATGTCATTCAACTATTTTTCTTTTTTGTTTAATGGTGCTGTTTCAACAAAAACATTATTAAATTGATTAAGTACTTGACAATTGCCCCATGTCCACTCTGTATGGCAAGAGCCTGGATCACGTTGAAACCAGCCAGTCGGTCCCTGTAGTGGCTTGACCAGGAGGAAATTTTAAAAAAACTGTAAAATAAAAAGCTCTAAACCCACAATGGTGTGTGTGAACCATGGTTTTGTTTTTGGCGTTATGGTGATGTGATAGGCTAAGTCACAAAGTGCTATCCAGTTCCTATTTATACAGTTTCCAGCGCTAGCAGACTCATGCACTCAATCACTTACAGGTGACATCACTAAAGTCTTTGAGAGTCTAGTGTTAGGGTGCGCTCGAACACAGAGTGAGCGAGCAGATAAAAAGCAGACCCAGGTGGCTGGCTTCAGTGCAAGCAGTGAGGTTTATTTACAGTGAAGGTAAGTGACATATATACAGGAGGAGTAATGAGGTAGATGACTGGGTGTCAATCAGCAGCAGCAGAAAAACAGTCAGTGGTATGGTGGATGATGATGTACCGGGCTGCGGACGCAGAGGTCACTCCTGGGCTGGTCGAGGTGGAGGTGATGATGGCTGTAGACAGAAGAGCAGGGATAAACTGGGTAAGGGAGACTGTGCATCGACCTGGGAAGCGGTGGCTGGTGGTGTAGATTAAATCCAGGGGGGTCCAGAGGAGAGGGCCGAAGAGGAAGAAGACACTAGAAACGGCAGGGCAAGATAACGACTAGGGTGCTAACAAGGACTAGAGAGAACAAAGACAATCTTAGCATAAACTTGATAAAACAACATAACAACCACTGGCCTGAAGACAGAGAAAGAACTGGCAGGGGAGTGACTGGTGAACAGTGTATAAGTATGGAGGAGACTAATGAGGTGCAGCTGGTGAGTAATCAGGGAAGCGGGGCAGGTGTGTTGAATAGTGTATTCAGTGCAAGGGCTAGGCTAGTGTGAGGAAAAAGAAGAGAGGAAGGTGTAGCTGGGCAAACCTGACATCTAGGGCTCAAGACCTTAGGGAGGACACTGGAATTGGGCCTCAGTCTGTCTTGCTCTCTTTCTGTCTTCTACCCATCTTCCCTCATTTTTTTACTGTATTTCTCCAACTGTGTTTTCCTTCATCCTGAAATCTGCAAGTGCAGTGTCAGCGGCTTGCAGTGTCTTCATCAGGACTTGCATCCAACAGCACCAGGAAGTACAGTAAAAAAGCATCAAACACTATGCAACAGAGAAATGCACAGCAATATGAAAAATAGTGTAATGCAGCAACTCACAGGGTAAAAAGAAAACACTGGTAACATATAGTCTAATCATATTCACTATAAATATGCTTCTTATAAATTTTAATCAAGGCAGAACATGCTGTCACTGCTGGGAGCAGCCTGACTGATCAGGCAGTCACCAGGACTTATAAGTACTTTTCTCCTGCAAGTCATCTTCTACTACTCTCAATTAATTAACTGCCTATCAATGCAAAGGTTTAAAATGATGGCTTTAATATTATATGGCAATTTTGGGCTCATCTGGCTCATGAGTCTAATTTTTATTACCCATACAGTACATAAAAAAAATTTTTTAAGCACAGTTGGAATGCTTGACTGAAGTATGCTTTATGGTTTTTAAGATCTGCCTTCTTTTAGGCAAGAATGAGAAAAATAGATGCAAAAAAAGAACTATAATAAATCATAGCTAGAAGAGTCCATCTTGTTATGAAGGTTGGGAGCAGACCATAGTAAGCCAGTGAATGGCTCCGGCTCCTTTGTTTTGAACAGGGGACACTCTGTAGTATTAACAAAAGAAAAAACAAATCAGAGTCATGTAAAATCTCTCTGCATGTCAGTGCTTTAATATTGCGCTTTTTCTGGTACAGCCACAGTATATGATTCTCTCTCTGGTCCAGATGTGAGTAAGTCATTAGGGTGTTTCTGGGTCAGGCAGCACACTCCCTATGGCAGTAGCTGCAGATTCTTGTCATAGGAGACGGCTGTTATATAAGAAACACTATAACTGCCCAGCTCTGCAGAGGAAAAACTAGGCACTGTTAGTGGACTTACCATGGCTGAGCAGTCACACCATGCACCATCAGTAGTAGTCATTTTTAACACTGATATCAGCAGGTAGTTCCAGCCAGTGTTTTGTTCTTGCTCTTGCAGTAACAAAACAGTCATTTTCAGGCCCTATGGTTTTACATTGCCTCCCTAATTAAGATTTTTCTAGTTAATATTATACATTTCACTTACACTTTTAACATTTTGTGTAATCACCTCCCAACACACACACACACACACACCTTAACTAGCTCTGTCAAAATGCTCTTATTTCACACTCTGACAATGTCATGTATAATGTGAATCGCTTGTATTCTGTTTGCATCGAACAATTATTTTCATGTTTGACAAAATGTATGGATTATTTTCGTGATTAACTGATCAATTGGTTTGGCACAGAGTAGTCTACTTCAGTTCCCAGAATACAGTCATCTTCAAATGTCATTAACAGTTCAAAACCCAAATACTGTAAATTCAATTTGTAGTTAGAACACTAAAAAAGTTTTAACATATTCTT